TTAAAGGCGGAAACGGATGTTTTACATTCGTTATTTGGCAAACATCGGGAAAACAGGAAAAAGGGTAAGAGAAATTATACCCTAAGCTCAATGTAGTTATATATAGATTCCTACAAAAAAAATAGATCAATAAAATACCAATTATTTTGTTATTGGACGAAAGTAGTAACAGAAAAAAGGCTTTGATATAAGCGGTACGTTAAATATGGCTCTGAATTAAGTCTTGAAACATAAGGTAAGCTCTTTTTTAGGCCTTAATTAAAATATAAAACAGCTCTGAAGAGGTGATTCAACCAAGTCCATCTCCCCAAAATTATGAAATATTTCATGACAGGATACGTATTTACTTTGAATCGATTAATTTTGTTCCGAGGTCAAAGAAATAATTAGTGAATTAGCTTAACCAGAAATCGATAAAGGATTGCCGTTGGATGAAGATGGAAATAGAGTGTGGAATATATATGGCTTTTGAATAGGCTCAACAAGAGGGAGAGAGCAGGATGAACTGCTGAGCCTGAGGATATTTGAGTATCTTTGAGTCTGGTTATGGCTATCACAACTCACATTACTTGAACATCGCATATATATTTAAATAATACACAATGCTACGTGTCCAAACATTAGTCATAGAAAATGATTTTAACTTGGTTTATTTTTGTAAGAAAACCGTTGCGAACACCTTTTCCTTCACACTAATCAACTACCCTCATAGGTAAGCTTTGTGGGTAAACATAAGGTAGCCAACTGAACCATAGGATGCCCCGTTAAAATAGCAAAAGTAGGCATAAGAAGTGAGGATGTTTGAAGTGGGCACCTTTCCTCTTGACACTTTTCTTAATGAACTTTGTAAAGCAGAATTTCTCGCTGTGACGACATCTCACACGACGGACTATAGCGCATGAGGGATTTAACGGTTTCCGGTGACAGAATTCACGAATTCTTTCCAATCAACTATTTGTTTGCAATGAGAAGTCGAGTCCCACTAAATTATTAAGGAGTTCTTAAAAATTCTACTTTTCTTCATATATACGTGTATTTAACGATTCTCAGAAAAATTTGGTCTCGGTGACGTTTAAGATGTATTTAATACAATTTACTCTGCTTTTGTATAAAAAGACTATTAAAGAAATAGTAATGTAATCCAAGCAGATGGTGAAAATCCGTTTTGGCGTGCATTTAAACTTGGTGGTATTGCAGTATCAGCCAAGCAACCATTACCAATCCACCTCTTAGCCTTTGTGGAATAATATTGGACCTTATTGTGGCACTTAACAAGCATAAGTTGAGCAGAGCAATCCATTTATCAACACATCATATCCAAAAAAGGATAAATATTCCAAATGCTTAGAGAATAAGGCTCATAATAAAATTGCTTATATCAAGAATATGTTTATAGAGAAACAAATAAGGTACTGCATTTGAGTCTCCATAATGTCAAATACTTAAATGAGAGGTGGGAGTGATAGTACTTGTTACCTGAAGGGTGTCATCGGGAATTCTCGGAGTTATCTCTGACTGTGTAGTGTCCCAGGTGTCGACTTTTTCGGTTAGTTCCCGACCTCCGACATCTGAAGATGGATTGTCATCGTTAGTTGAGTCATTAGCGAAACGCTTGGATAGCTCACGGGCTGCTTCATGTTCTAACTTGCGAATGTCTTCGATCGTCAGGCCATACCACTCGTCTTGCCATGTCCATGCTTGCCGATGCGCACGAACCATGGTCTTTCTTAAGGCTAAATGAAGAAAAATGAATAAATGGATAATACTATTACAACGCAGACTGTGCTAAAAGGTAAAATTGGCTTAGAAATTTGCAGGATATAAAACAACCTTGCGCCATCGGTGTAGCAGTAGGTTTTACCAAGTTAGAACTGTAGACAGACATTCTCTGTGACCTTAACTACCATCACTCCCTAACACTGATATAAAAAACTAAAATCTCATCAACGAGATCATTGTGGGGTTAAAATATAGACATAATTGCATTATCCAATATTGCTAAGCAGTTATAACTTGTAATTCATTGCACAATGATTTCTAAGTTCATCACTTCCTGGAATGAGGATTCAGATATAAAATAATAAACAAAGTTAAATCAAAAGATATAGTTTTATTAATATATATGAATAGACACATATATTATAAACATAATACAAGGGATATTAGTGTAAGCTTATTATTAATTAAATATCAAATAAATTATATATAAATAGATAGATGTAGCTCGGTTGGATTAGTGTGCAAGAATCGTGCATTAAAAGAAATGCAAGGAAAGCTTGGGTGTCACAGGATAGAATATATCTTATAAAGTGAGAGAAGCCTTTTAAGCGTTAAAGTGACTTAATCTGTGCAATACAAGACAATTTAGGGTAAAGACAGTCCGAATAGAATAGTACCAACTAATGGTTTATAAGAAAGGTTCAAATCCAACTATATGAATTATCTAGAAATACAAAGTATTATCAAACAAGTATTAACATATCAATTCAACAGACCAGCAAACCAAAGGTCTAAACGAACCATGCCTACAATCAAAGAGAGACCTCGATCTGAAGTGAACAAGACGCCTAGAGATCAAAATGGGTCGC